AGCAGATTCTAGAAATCACTAGCTTTTGTACATTAGTACCAGTTATCAGGGGAGGGAGTGAAATATTGGATTGTTCATATAGTATTATTAGCATTGCTATCTGCTGTTTGTCTTTAAAATTCTTCGGATTCACGCCCTTTTTATTACAAAACACCTATACACAAATTATAGGAAACTTTAGGGTGTTTTATCTACATGATTTGCAATTTTCCTTGTTTCCTAGCAATATTGGGCACTTTATATCCACTTTTTTCTTTTAATCCATTTTGGAAATGAAGCTTTCTTGCAGGATTTTGCTAAAATTATATGGCTGGTTTGGCTTTGTCTCCTTTTCATGGCCATGTAAAGGTAAAGGTTTCCCCTGTCCAATCATGTCTGACTGTAGGGGGCAGTGTTCATTTCCATTTCTCGGCAGAGGGAGCCAGTGTTGTCCAAAGATGCTTTCTTGGTCATGTGATTGTACACCAAGATGCACGGAATGATTGTACACCAAGATGCATGGAATGGAGTTACCTTTCCACTGGAGTGGTACCTATTTATCTACTCGCATTTGCATGCTTTTGAACTTCAAGGTTGGCAGGAGCTGGGGCAAGTAACAGGAGCTCACCCCATCGTGCGGCACTTTGATCTCAAACCTGGGCTGTCAGCTTTCCAGCTGATAAGGTCAAGGTCTTTAACCACTGAGCCATCATGGCCATGTAGAGCTTAGTAATCATCTGGGAAGAATATTAAAAATGGTGTCAGTAAGAGCCAGAATGATCCTGTTATTTTTATTAGACTAATTTTGACTTATAGCTGTCCCTTTTGATGAGAGTATTATTTGCATTGCAAACTAATAATATATAATTGGGCCTTTGTTGTTCTGGTGTTCTTTTCCTTAACTATTGTCTTTTGATAAATTTTAAAGAAATTAGAAGTTAGAATAGTAATTTCTTAGTATCTAGTCTACAGCCAGCAGGTTTATTTTAATAATAGCTTCTGACGATGTCTAGATGTAATGGAATACAATGCCCATCAACAACTAACCAGCATGACAATAATTTGTGATTTTATACATATGGAGGGAATCAGGTTGGGAAAGAGCAACATAGTAACTCAAGAATACTTAACATGGAATCCTTTGTGTTCTCTGAGTTTGGTTGTTTGTTTGCAGACATTTCATTATCCAACTAAGTAACATCATCAGTGTAAGTAGGTGTGGGGTTTTCTCCCTGTTTATATAAATTAACTTGCCTTGCCAATTTTGATGAGTGTAGTAGTTTCTTGTTTAGTGTTCACAATGAACATGAATTTGGACAAACTTCAGGAAACACTGGAGGGAGCCTGGTGTGCTATGGTCTAAAGCAGGGGTAGGCAACCTTGGCTCTTTTATGACTTGTGGACTTTAACTCCCAGAATTCCTGAGTCAGCATGGCTGTTTCAGGAATTCTGGGTATTGAAGTCCACACAACTCATAAAAAAGCCAAGGTTGCCTACCCCTGGTCTAAAGGGTTGCGAAAAATCAGACATAATTCAGTGAGTGAACAACAACAAATACAGTTTCTTTCAATGGCTGATTTGTCTGAATGCCAAGCATCCAGGAATTTTCTAGTGTTTTTTGTACAGGATTATTATCTACAATTCAACATAATGTACTTGCATTAACAATATTTAAAATACATTCTGCTTCCATTCAGCAGAGAATAAAATTAATTTTTATAAAAAGCTAAACAACTTGTATTTTTCAAACCAGGAATTTTTCACATTCCTTTTCATCATACTAATATACATAACATCAGTGGTGTACTCTATGAAATTTTTCTGCTGGCTAAATGGATTCAGGATTCAGAATTATGACAATCACATTATACAAGCTTCTACATAGATGAATCTACATGTAACATTCACTTTCCAATGATAGAGGTCTTACTGAAACAAGTATAGGTGAACCATTGACTGACTTACTATAGCAGCTATGCTGCATTTTTTTGGGGGGGGAAGGGTTAATAATAACAATAAGGTAAATGGTTTCTTCTTTCTCACTGACTGTATGGCATTAAAAGGGTGATTGTTCAGTTGGCAGCATTTAATTATTTTGTCTGTGATGCTATCTATAGGTAAGAAAATGTTGCTTTTGTCAGTCTCTCAACAACTTTCAATTTTATTTGTCAGAATAAAGCTGCATAACAAAAAACAAAGTTCTTAAAAGAGACTTATGGTCTTGAGTTCTAACAAAGCTAAAATATTCCTTAACTACGGTATGTAATTACAAAGTGAAGTATTACAATTGTACCTGACAGAATTGATTTGGGAAAAATTGGCCCATTGTGGGATAAGAGGAATTCCTTAAGTTAAGGAATGCTACTAATGGGTGCAGTTCAGAAAGAATGACAAAAGGGATGTAAGGAATTTAATCTTATTGAATTTCAGCCACTAAATGCAACATGGCCTTTGGTTATGAAATGCTGCCTTTGTGAAATAACAGCCTTGATATGGCTGTTATTACTACATTATAGTACTACATTAACTACATTAACCCTGGCCAATTTGCCAACTGGTGGAAATGAACAGTGATGTAAAATAAGTGTGAAATTTCCTTTTGGGGAAAAGTAAACAAATGATACCTGTTTGGTTCTGAAAGCAATTTATTTTTGTAATTTAAAAATGAAGTGCTGTCCAATAGGAAATAAATTATTTTTGCAACTAAATTTTGGGGGAGAAAGTCCCTGCTTCCTGTTTAACCCCAAAAGTGTGATCCTGGAAGGCAATTGGTCTGATTCCAAAGTACCCATTGAATTCATGGCTGAAAATAAATGAATACTTGGCTTTCTTGGTGTCAGTCCAAAACCTTAACTATTACATATTCTAACACATGTAGAAAGCATTAAATTGGGACAACCTGCCTAACACAATGAGCCCTATGAACAAGCTTTAAATCAGCTTCTTTATCATTTGTGCTAAGTACGTTTCTACAAAAATACATGTGTGTTTCCTAACAAGGGTAAAAAAAGAACACATCTTTGTTGAATTGTCTGTCACATATATAAATGCATATGCATGTATATAAAATAGGACTATGCCCACTAACTTTAGCCTCTCAACATGACAAGTGACCACAAGCAGAATTCCAAATCTGTATAGGGGTTTCTCTGCATAGATTCTAGTGCACAGAGGTGCAAGTGCAAGATCTCTGTTCTCCAATATTGCTTATATAAAAATTAATCAAGCTTATGCATTTTTGGTTCAGATACTTAGACCCATATGCAAATCTGGATCCCAACACTGAGAGGACATTTGGACCAAGTATGATCCTCTTCATGGATACAAACTAAAATTTGCAGAAATGGAGGGTTGATTTTAAAAATACCCAATGATTTAGAAACAGCATAAAATTCCAGAATATCAACATGGGAATGACATGTTTATCCCCTCTTATTAAGCTTTCCATATGCACAGCTTTTTGATTTAAGGCACCATTCCAAATATTAGGAGATTGAGAGTTCCAGTCCCACCTTACATATGAAAGATGGCTGAGTGACTTTGGGTCAGTCGTTCTCTCTCAGTCCAACTCACCACATGTGGTTGTTGTTATGAGGAAACTAGCAGGAGTATTAGATATGTTATCGGCCCTCAGTTATTTATAAATATAATAAAGATGGAATAAAAAAATCTTTATTCTCCCTCCCGCCCAATAATTCCTAGCCAGCAATAGGGAGGGCACCAGGCAGGAAACTGCAAATCCCTAAAGGATTATAACATGTGCCTTTAAAATATTAGTCATGAGATAAGCAACAATGAACTGCAATTGCTGTGATGCAAAGACTATAGGCTGGATTCAAGCCAAAATACATATGTTTGCTTGTCTGAACCAACAGTTATGCATTCAATAAACTGGGCAAATTTAGCTTAGCTTGTTGTGGGAATGTCATAAATATGTCACAAGTTTCATATGTAAAGATATTTGATATAAAACCACCCAGTGTGAAAATTGCTGCATACTGCAAGTAAAATTTACTTTTATTTAAACCCATCTCTTGGTGACTGCATGGGCAGGATCATGTAGTTTCCTTGGGAAAAATTAAAGGGGTAATTTAGTCTTTCAGGAGTTTATATTTTTTAAAATTCCAAATATAGCTTATGGCCATGGAATTGTAGATTGTTCAAACAAGAAAAGTATACATTGATAGTGTAATTTTGTTAAAGTGCACAATTCTGTTGAAGATCAGCTTGTTTTATTATCCATGTACTCGGAGTGCCACACGATAAATCGGAGTTGGCATTACATCAGGGATAACATTAGTATCCATTTTTTTATGCTGAGTTTGATCAAGTATATAGGCTTTGTATTGACTGTTTGCCAAGCATGCAGTATGCCTGTGTTCAAAACATTAGCATGCTACATTCACTGCTATTAAAATGTGCAGCCTGCCTTACAAACTAAAACTCAAAATGGCTCACAAAAAAATTCAAAAAGTCGCGCTTAGGTTCTAAGGAGGGGCGGTTGTTCTATTAACAAAGCAAAACCAAGAGTACTAAAAATCAAGGAGAACATACAAGAAATTTGTATTTGCAACTGGTTTTGAATTTGTGATTCTCGTAGCTAACAATCATAGTGAACAGGAGAAGGTGAAGGAGATACCGATTAACCGACAATTATGAATTTTCTGATGTAATCCTTCAAGATCTCTGTTAGATCCAGCCATATCTCTATTACCTCTTTCGGAATTCGAACTCACTTCAGAGGCGCCTACCCAGATAAGTGTTCCCAGTCAACAGTGAAGTCGGTCAAGATAACGTTTCTTATTAGCTCGGCAAAATTCCAAACCGAGCCAATTTGGAACAAGCAGCAATAGAGCTTGGAAGTAGCGTAACCCTTGTTTTTCCTTTTCCCCGACCCCTCCCCAAACTGCACGGCCCCAGGTGACGGAAGCCTCTCCCCTCCCCGCCCGCGTGCGTCCCCTTAGCTCTGCCCCCGGGAGTCCCGCCAGTGGGGCTTTTCACAGGCGACGCTTGCGGCCGCTGCGCTAAAACTCCCACCTCCCGAACAACCCTGCGCGTAATTTGCTTCTCCGGACGGCAACTTTCGGCCACAGGTCCAGAGCCTTCGGATTGAAGAGCCTGCCTTTGGCTGCGGCAGCGAGCGATCAGGCTTTCGACGGTGTTCCTGCTGCAGCTGAAGATGGAACAGCCGCCCCGTGAGAGCCACCAGGAGAGCGCTCGTTCGCACACCGTGACCACAACCAGCAGCTCCTTCGCGGCTACTTTCACGTCCAGCTCCAGCACGCTCGCTTATGACAAAGAATTTCTGAAGACGATTCCCGGAGTCCTCATGCTGGTTGAGATAGTAAGTCTAGCACTTCCAATAGGCCGTCGTAGGCAATGCAAATCTATATTGGTAGAAGTAAGTCCCACAAACTTACTTGGCTTCTGAATATAAACATACGCGCCAACAAAAAGCCTGTATTCTCACGTTACCTCAAGCCCCATTTTGGTTTAGGGGCTTTGTGTACGCACTCCACGTGCTTAGTTTATTGGTCAGTATGACTTGCAAGGGCAGGAAATCGGGTTGTTTGTTTTAACTTTGTTAACACAGCTGCTAGGATTTGAAATTTCCACCTCCTACCACTCTTCACTCAAAGCAAACCACAAATAAGTTCCCCAGCCAAGATAACCGGCAAGAAAGGACATTTGCCTAAAAGCCAGGCGGAAGCTTTAAATTTAAGCAGCCTTCTCCTCTCTTCTGTTTAAAACCTTTCGAATCATGTCTTTTTGCTATTTTCACTTTTTTTCACAAATCGTTTTTAAGTTTTTCTAAAGATGAGGCCTCAAAATTCAGAAGGATGTTTTTTTAAATGTCTAAGCAATGTAATGAATTAACTTATAATGACATGCTTTCTGAAAACCTGGCCATATTTTAAAACTATGAAGGATCTGATTTATTCATTTTGACTTGTGTAAAAAGCCAATTCGGTCTAGTAGTTAAGGTGCTGGACTGGGAGCACCTTAATCGCTAGGAACCAGCTGGGTGACTTTGGATCAGTTTTGGCTGTAAGCCCTAGGACAAAGACAATAGCCAACCCCTTCAAAAATGTTGCCAAGAATACTGCAGGAACTTGTTCATGTAATCACCAAGACTGACGTGGAGGCAAAAAATGAAAACATATAGTCAATTCACATTGTGAGTACCCTGAATATGTGCAAAACTTTCAGATATACCAGGACTATTGATGGTGGAACCATTTTATACTACCAAGCCTTGTGCAAATTATATAATCAAGCAACATATAATTTCTTTGTAAATCTTATAAGACAAGATTTTTTCCCCTAGAAAAATAGCTCTATTTGTCAGTTACTTCAGAGACAAGAATTATACTTACATCTAGCAAATTAAGGATTAATAAACTTATTAAAGCCCACTCATGTAATTTATTTCCTTGAAGCTTTGTAATAAATAGGTTTCCTCTATATTTCTCCCCTGCCCTGCAGGAAAGAAAGGTAAGAATTATTGCTTTATGGGCCATTATTGAAAAGCTAGAAGAGTTTTCCTGTCTTCCTATAAGATAAGATCTATAGGCAACCACTGTTAAATTGGATCCTTTTCTGAAGTTCTACATCTGATTTCTTACTCTGCAGTTCAGTTCCATTCTATATGTCTAGTTGACACTCTTAGTGGTTGGTTTTCTCCATTTGTTGAGAAAAAAATCAGATCTAGGACAGCTGAAAGCTTGTACAGAGAATATGTTCAGCTGGCTGGAGCATGTATAAATTTTCTCACTTTGCAGTACTGGAATGAAAAAGTTGGGAAGTTCCTTGGGTTTTTCACTTCAGCAGTTTTATTCAAGTGGGAATATAGGATGATCAAATAATTGCTATGGATATTGGATTACCAAGGACTGCTTCAGCATCAGCTGAATCCTGTTGTTGTTCCTGGAGCAGAATGACACTATGCATGCAGGACAGGCTTTATTCCTATAAACAGTTTAGTACATCTGGTCACATCTTATTCTGTTAACCTACTGACCATGAAGAGGTAAAATGTTGCTGAGGCATGCAGACATCAGTCCAGAAATCCACTCCGGTAATGTGCACTGTAGGAGTACAGCTGGGGAAGAGAAGGGAATGTGGAGATGTTTGGAGTATTTCATTATCAGAATTACAGTAGAAAGCTGGGGATATTTTGTATCTTAGCAAAGATTTATGTTGTCTATTTACTGGTTTCATACAATATATTAAAAATAATGGTGGGCCTTCTTAGCCACAGCTACACATTTTTGAAAGACTTGGGTCTTCACTGTCAGGGAATATGATGCCAAATGAGGCAGCTGCATCAACATAGAGATGGAGCCTGGATTTTATGGCATTTTGTGCTGGGCTGTGGGGTTTTTTAATGCCCTCCCCCCAGCTGTGAAAGTCAGTTTAAGACTTTAACTTTCTGTGTTGTCTGAGTTAAAATGATAGGAGAAAATAACATATTTTTTTTGTCAGCAGCACTCCTAAAATTTAGTGCATTCAGAGCAGGCTAAAGAAAGACAAATGAGGAATGAGGGGGGGGAAGGAATTATAAGCTGAAACCATGGGATTCAGGTTATCCACCCCTGATTTAAATATTTATCCCCACAACCCTAGTATTTGCAATAGGCAACTTAATGAATAACATAATTTAAAATAGTTGTAACATTTAAAAGATCAGCAGATAACCATTGCACTACAAAACAAAGCAGGAGTCATAAATCGGTGTGCTATGCATGTGTTTATAATTAACAAATGTATTTGACTTATTTAAAAAATGCATCACCAATATTAAAATGCTGTACAATCTATACTGATGACCAAAATTAGCAGCAGTAAAATTGTCAAGGTAAAGCTCTCAAAATGGAACCTTATGCTTACCTATGTTTTTGTCTGAAAGTTAAATATTATTGTATGGTTTCTTATTACATTTCTGTATTACCTAACAGTCTACTTCCCATGGTAGCTTCAAAATAGAATTCATAAACTTTATAAAAGTATACAATAATAAATGCAACATAAAAGGAATTCAACAATAGTAAGAAAAATTAGCAGAAAATGATATTATGAGTGTATGGATCAAAAAAGGTAGAAGTTGTTAAAAAGAACAAGGCTGAAATAAATCCAACCTTCAGCAAAGATTGGCTGCAAGTGAAAATCTTTAAACAGATATTCATACAGAGGCCTGAGAAATTGAGGTGACATTTTGTCAGTATAAATCAGGGTGGGGAACTATGGCCCTTTTATGACTTGTGGACTTCAATGCTGTTTTGGGAATTCTGGGAGTTGAAGCGCACAAGTCATAAAGGGGCCGTAGTTCCCCACCTCTGATATAAATGGAAGGCAATGCACTTTCTCTGAAACCACCTCTACATTCATTTTCTCTATCTAAATTTCTGATGAAGGTCAAATGAAATGAGATCTCTACCAGTGATCTGAACAGATGGGGGGGGGGAATCATGTGGAAGCAGGTGATCTTTTTAAATAATCTTGAATCCAAGGTTTTTTTCCCCCTTCATACGAGTGCTTTCCATTGAGAAAATATACGCAGGGTAAATTCAGACATTAAACTTTTTTTCAACCATAGTTAACTAATTATGTTTCATTGCACTATACATTGGTTCGCATAAAAATCAAGTCCAGACTTTGAGTTGTGTTGTAATCCTGGTTGTGGCCAAGAAGAGCTTTTTCTTTTTTAGTTTGTCATTTCATTTTTCCAAGATATTTTTTTGAACATAGTCTAACCTACTACCCTGAGATATCAGATACTGTCCATCCAAGTACTAATCAGGTTTAATCCTATTTATTTTACAGGTCCAGACAAGATAAAGCATGGTGTCATGGTTTGATAAATCACAACTGGTTGGATTCACATAGCACATTAAGACATAAATCATTGTTTATGAATAGTTAGAGTCCATAATACACTAATTCATCCCAACCCATATGACACTGTATGTCTGAATATGCTTTCCAGTAGACAAAATATAGAGAACTTTGTTTATTTATATCTCACTTTATTTTATCTTTTTTACTAAATGACTCAAGGTGGTGAAAATATCTAACACTACTTCTTGCTCCTATTTTCCCCACAACAACTTGTAAGTAAATTTGACTAAGAGTGACATCCAGCTGGCTTTCATGGCTAAGGTGGGACTAGAACTCACAGTCTCCAGCTTTTTCTTGGTACTTGAACCACTAGACCACTGAAATTTTGTTGTTCTGGAAATCTGAACCTAAAAGCTGAGGTGTAATCACATCCTAAATACAATCCAATTTAAACGTACTAAAGACATACAGAACCAGACCATGCACTGTGCCCTAACGTTATTTGATGTTTATGTGTTAGCCATTATATAGTTTGTTAACTGTAGTTTACATATAGTTAGTCCAATATTTCTACTAACTACTATTTGTAGTTAACTGTAGTTTATAGTTAGTCCAATATATCTATCCAGTCAACTGGAGCATATTCAGCAAAACAACTGAACCAATCTTGAGTTAATGTGTTATGTGAACTCAGCCATTTGTTGATTGGGTTGTGTGAAGCAGTTCTATAATTTCATTTCACATTAAGAAACTGAATGATGGTGCTCTTTGGATAGTAAGACTGAAAATAAAACATTTGACTCAGCCATGGGGTCGCGATGGGTCGGACACGACTTCGCAATTAACAACAACAACAAGTAGAACAAAGGCAGTTTTAAAGTCCAACCTTGTATTTATTTATTTAAAATTAACAAATAAATTTGCATTAATTTTCAATGAGTCCAAAGTGCTTAGATAGTGAAAACTGTTCTTTTTATAGGAGTTTAGTTTGAGTGTAGTCAGACAATCAAGTTGCAACTTACTGTTCTTGCTTCAGCTGCCTCTGGTGAAGAGGTTCGAGACAGCTCTGGTTTAAAGAATAGTCAGTAAGTGGGGTTGTTCTTTCTTGAAACACTCATTAGCTGCCACACCCTTAGTGTGGTGTTCTGCCAAAGTTCCTGTAAGTGATTGGAAACTGAGGGATTATTGTTGTGCCGCTAATATAATCTTAACATTCAGTCTGTACAATGGAAACATTTTTTATTTAATTAATTTTTTTTAACCTTGCCTCCGTTGTATTTTTTATTTAAAAAACTTGAGACAGCAAACATATAATACTCTCTCCTCCTATTTTTCTCACTACAAGCACCCTGTGAGGTAGGTTTGGCTGAGAGAAAGTGACTAGCCCAGGCGTGTCAAACTGCCGGCCCACGGGCCGGATGCGTCATGCCAAAACCGCACCCATCCCATTGCCGGCAATGGGGAAAAAGTCACGATACGTCGCGCAAGACTAGCCCTAAGTCGCCC